TTAGAGTAAGTCTTTTCTTTTCTGGAAGATCATTTTGCAAGCCAGGTGGTACTTCGACTGAGAAAGACGCTAAACAAATTCTATTTCGTTCCGGAGCTCTTATGTAATGCTACTGAGAGCGTGATAAGAGGGGCAGAATAAACTATTGTGTTTGGGGATCAAAGAGTTAAGTTTCTTTGCGTGAGTTTTTGTTGATGTTCACTTGGTAAATAAGTCTCCCAGAGTTTTTTATGACTAATCTTTTCACTGCGTAAAAAACGTTACAGTAGAGTTTACCTTCGCAAGGTCGGCTTTTATGCTATTTTTGCTTTAAATCTAGTTAGACAGGCTGCACGGTTTTTGACTTATTACAGGCTGCTAGTTCCAATTTTTGATAATAAAAGCCTAGAATCCTTAGTGCGCATTCTGGTCAGAAGAAAGAACTAGTTTTGATATTACTGGTGAAGCTGGCACGCTGCAATCAGTTTGACCTTCGTCAGCCAGTATCAGCTAGCATTAGACTGAATTTTCTAGCGTCTAGTGCCGTTAATTTCAACTGGTTACTCGTCACGTCACTACACCAGAAATGCTCTTCGAAACGATCTGTGCCAGCGGCCGACCATCCGGAGAGTATAGAGCTGCTAAAAAGAGCATGCTGTGCCAAGCCTTTTTTTTACTGTAATAGCATGGACTATCGATATACCACCTAGAACTGTAGATCGTTGTCGAAGGATGAACTCCTCAGCTGTCTTCAAAAAATTGCGAATCATCCATGCTACTTTAAGCTCACTGTATTTGCTCCGACTCATAGTTATACAATCCTCATGGGTATTAACAATTATGGTTGCACTGCAGTAAGCAAGGCAAGAAACTGAAGTTTTATCCGCTGAAGTTGAATCATTTTTTGCCTCTAATAGCACGCGTAGCAGTTACAGATCCTGAAGCTGACCTTTAGCGAGAAGAAAAGCTTTAGAAAAGTGTATTAGCAGGCGGATAGTGGCTGTATTGGTACAAAAGGTGCCCCAGAGACTCTACTGCGCTTCAAAATCCTAGAAACCCATGCGTACGCAACAGTGGCAACATGCGCATGCAGGCAGTGTACCAATCGTCTGACGAGCAGAAAAATTCACGGTTGTCAGAACGCCATATCTAAAGTGTTCGCGTTTTTTTGTGGTCTGAAATGATCG